AACTTACTGAAATGTTTATAGATCAAATACCACCTGTTAACCTAAAACTGTAAGAAGAGATTGAGACAAGATTATTCCAATAAAACAAGACATGTTTAGTTAGAGAGACCAAATGAGGAGCAACATTGTCCAGCTGACCAGCTACTGAGTGAGAAGCTTCAAGGGATGCAGGAAGCTGTCAACATCATGTCCTCAATAACTGAGTGACAGACAGACCACAGTCTGTGCGGCATGTGGAGCTGTATGTCTGACATGCTGATCAGCAGCACAGGAGCACCACAGGGGACCATCCTGTCACCTCTTCTGTTTACTTTAAACACCTCAGACTTTCAGTACAACTCAGAGTCCTGTCATGTGCAGAAATTCTCATATCACTCGGCAGTTGTTGAATATGTTTAGGAAAACATGGACTGCTGCTGATCCCATCAACATCGGGGTGAGGAGGTGGAAGTGTTGGACAAATAGAAATATCTGAAAGTTTACCTAGACGGCAGACTGTGCTGGAGATGTAACACAGAGGCTGTTTATGGGATAGGACAGAGCAAACTACCTGAGGAAACTCATGTCCTTCAATTTGTGCAACAAGATGTTGCAGATCTTTTACCATTCTATTGTTGCAAGCATAAAGTGGAAGTGGAGTAAATAAACTCTTCAGAAAGGCCGCTTCTGTTCTGGGAACAACTTTGAAGCCATAAATGGTGGTGGTAGTGAAATGGAGGCTGCACAAACTGTTGTGCATCGTGGAACACACCTTGCATCCTCTTAATGACCACCTGGTTAACTAGCGGAGCATTTTCAGTGAGAAACTGATCTATGACTGCTACAGGAGGTCCTTCCTGCCAGCTGCCATCCCCTTGTACAAGCGGTTCACTGCTTCAGGACAGGGTGCTAAGGAGGTGAAGCCCCCCTCCCCATGCAGTTTTCATCCCCTTTAAAATATCTGACCTATAACTGCCTTAATTTAATGTAACATTTAATTTTGCATTACTTGCTTTATGTCAGCTTTACAGCATTATATGTGTATATGCACAGTAAAATCCCTTTTATGTAGTTAAGTTAATGTCAATAAGTATTGTATATTGCAAAGATTTGTTGGTATATTGCTATGTTTTGTATATGTATATTGATAAGCATTGTACAATCTTCAGAACACTATATTTGTCTTTTTTGCTATGCTGCTGTAACAGTGGCATTTCTTTTTGGGATTACGATTATCTAAGACTAAAATCTGATAGCAGAACATGATGTGTGTTTTGTCTGTCGCTTCGTAATCTTAAATCACTGGGAAGTGAAATGTGGAGTGTGCAAAGGTAACTGACACTTAATATCAGTACATCGACGAACAGTTTTCTATTTCAGCCGGCGCTTTTCTTTCTCATGTTTTACTGTAGTCTTTACACACATTCAGAAATGCACACATGCACACACATCCATGAAACAAGTCAAACTGCCCAGAGTTGCAAGCAAAAGTAAAATGTGCTAATCCTTTTTTTTCCCTTTGAGTCAATAATGAAATGACTTTCAGAACTTGGCAATATATTCTTATTTAATTTATGAAATTGCAGCTTGGGGCTTTATGCTGTCATTTTAGCAATGAGAAATCATGTACACTCACCTAATGCTTGATTTGTGTTATAAGTTATAATCCTTGCTGGGTTATGAATGTGTTTAGGCAGCACATAATGTACAAGCAAATAAATCCAATCAATTTGCATGAGCAACAATGCACATGCAAAAGTCAACCACAGACATTTTTCACTAGATTATCTGCCTCTGTGACGTGATGCTGAGTGTTTATTCCACTGGCTTCTTTCCCATATAATACTTGATTTTGCCTAGGGTATTATAATAAGGCATGTCTTATTTCTGTGTCTAATCTCATCTGTTCTATCCTCTTTCTTCACCCCTTCTCCTCGCATCTTAATCTCCTTTTATCACACATCACATCGTCATCTTATCTCAGCTGACCTGATCTCATCCCCTCATCGTCTCTCATTACCTCTAACCCTGTCTGATCCCTCGCTGTCACCTTTATTTACTCTCGTCATCCATCATCTCATGCCATCTTTTTCCATTCCTTCTTCTTCTGAACTCATTATATAATAGACTAAGAACATACTGTATATTTTACATCTATGATTGCACAAGCATTCAGTCATGCTAACAAAAAGAGACCATCATTGTATAATGCTGTCACTGTGGGTTGTGTTCACAACCGCTCTCCTCTTTTCAGGTATGTGGAAAAATCCAACAAATGAAAAACAGAAGTTTGTATAAATGTGGCAACAACAGCAGGAAATGTCTCACACTGAATGCTGAGAGTTTATTTGGCAAAGTGAGATCCCTGTGTATTATGTAACGGACTGATGTAAGTGCTGAGATGAAGCTGCAAGATCAGTTTCAATAAAGTCATTAATAGTTGCTTTCTTTTACCTCTTCAGCAGAGTGTATTGCACTTCTCCCAGATTTAATGGATAAGGGTTCTTTGGCCCTAACTTCAGTGGGGTGGGAGAGTGTACTCAAATACTAAATCACTTTTAGACAGCAATCTGGATGATGCTCAGACAAGCAGGTCTGGAACACTTCAAGAGTGGTGAGATGAAAAGCTTTGCAATAACTGCCGCCGCTGAAACAGAATGCACTTATAGGCACGCATACTTTATCTTCAACATGACTTCTTTCAACAGCCCTTTTATATATTTTAGAACAGCTCATCTAAACTAACAGGACAGGACTGCTGAATTGGACTACTATTAGGATAAAGGGTGTGGGTCCAGACATGACCTTAAAGCAGTGGTGTCAAACATATGGCCTAAGGGGCCAGAACCAGCCAACCAAAGGGTCCAATCCAGCCCACTAGATGACTTTGCACATCTAATATTGAAGTAGTTGTGAAGGCTAAGAGGTGCAGCTTTCAGAAGCAAGTTAAATGAGCATCCTACTTCATGAAAAATGCTGCTTCAGAGGCTTTTCTGCCCCGACCAGAATACAGTTGTCTGAAAAAAAAAACAATAAATACTTATTGTGGTCATGTTTTAAGATAGTGAACATTGTGCAAAATATTGTAAACCAGCAGCTTCATTACAAAAGAGTCTATATCAGACATCTACTTTAAATAACTTTTGGTGGAACCCTGCAGCTAAGGTATGGCCAAACCTTTTGATATGTAAATGGTTTGTGGGGCGCAGATAACTTAACCTGCTTCCTCAATAGCTTCCACTTTAGTCTGGTGCAAAAGAGTGGCAATGTATGGAAAAATGTAATGACACTGAGTCGTAGACTGACTGAATGTGGAAAAACCGAGACATGCTGTTGAAATTGCACTTTTTTCTTCAGATATCTCAGGCTGTTATTTAATAGATAAATGTTTTTAAAATGTACTTCTACTTCTTCACACCAAATGAAAAGGAAAAATGTGAAGGTTGTTATCATATCTCAGTTTTTCTTAAATGGTTTTACTGGTGCGGCCCATTTGAGATCAAATACAGCTGAATAAGGCTCATGAACTAAAATGAGTTGAACACCCCTGCCTTTAAGCATCAGTGTGGAAGATTCAGGGTGATTTGGTTGCATCTAGCGATGAGGACTGCACATTGCAAACTTCTCCCAGTTGGAATTCTGTCAGTGTTGATTGTTCAGGAGGTTTTTACCAGAGCTGAATTATCCACAGAGGTCTCTCACTCTCTGATTATTTAAACAAGTAAAACACTTAATAAAGAAGTGCCATAGAAATCTGTGCGTCTCTGATGCTGTTCAGCATGACGGAGAAGAGCCACAAGCCTAGCACCTAAATGTGCGCTCACCTTTCTTCTCTGATAACTTAAGATCCAGACATCCAGGAGTTTTTTAAGGGGGGCCGAATTAGCCGCAGAGGTCTCTTTCTCGTCAAAACAAATGAACCTGGTGATTTAAACCGGTAACAAAGCAGTTTCACGTTAAAATAAAATCTGTACTTTTCCAATGGTCTCATCGTAGAGGGGCTCATATCTGTGGTGGCCAATGCAAAAACATGACTGGCCATATCTAGAACCAGCGCTAGGTTTGCAGATATAAATGGCTCATTCTAAGGTGATGGAAACACATCAGTTGTTATTTTCATGTGATTATCATCTCCCAGTTTCTGCCAATATATCCCCCTAAATCCTACACACTGGACCTTTAATGTTTTTGTATACTTAATTATTACTCAGGCATTATTTTCCATATGATTTGGCTTTTTTCAGACCTATAGGACTGTATGTTATTTATGAATGAAGCCTTCACAACTGGCCTACATTCACTGACATATATATCCCTTTGATAGTATTTCCCCTTGAGTCCCCCTGACTCAGCATGATGAGTTGTATGGGAATACACCTGCCACTGATTTCCAACACGTGCCTGACAACCACCTCCAAACTGGTCACTTTCCATGAAGAGAAAAAACATGATGAAGCGTTGATCATGCATGGGCCCATTGCAGCCCCCTGTCTACTGGCAAGGACACTGTGACAGATGGCCTGTGAAGCTAGGGGACAATCCCTACATTGGAAATAAAGAATGTGAGCCAGCCAAAGGACGCTGACATCAGATCATGTAGCCTGAGTAGAAATCCTATCAGGAAGTCTATAATAAAAATAACCCTATACACAGCCACAGGATGTGGAGTATGGGGTGGCTGTGATGATGACATGATAACAGAGCAAGCAGCTGATGTAAGCTTGTTGTTGGTGATGATCACATAGACTGGCATTGGTTGTGGTCATATGGCCCATACAGCCTTACAAGCTACAGGACAGGGTAAAGAAAGCAGTGGACTAGCTGATCGACGAGTGCATCACATGATACGAGCAGTGAGCACGTCGCAGCACCACCATCATGAAACTTGTCTCCTTCATTTAATTTCCAGGGAAATGTAGTCTAGCCCGCCTGTGTGTGGATTTTAATTTTTTGCGTACCATGACTTGATAGAAAGAGATAATCTACCAGATGCGTGTTGTACCACATGCGTCTTTACTCACAGAATCACTTGCGTTTTTACGCAGCTGCTCCTCCTCTCCCAAAATCGCGGCCGGGTCCACCACCAGTTTCTCGAAACACGCCGACCCGAGAGAGGAGCTCTTCTGCTGGTACATGATCAGCTGGGATACGGGGAGTTTGGGGCTTCCATGCGCCGTCAGCTCGGGTTTGCTCCCCGTGGCTCCAGAAGCTGCGCCAAGGTGATGTGGAGGCTGCCCGTCGCTGCTGGTGCCGGGGACCGCGTCGCCTCCATGGGACTTCTTATCTCCTTCAAAAGGCGCCGGCGGAGAGCAGCACAGATTGGGCTGAGACGACGAAAACACCCGGTCCAACTGTTTCTTTTTCCTCTTAAACATCCATAACCCCGATTCCTTTTTGCTGCCCTCCGCGCCCCCGGCACCCCGACGCTCCGATCCCAGTTTAGGGCTCAGCCAAGGCTTGGTTTTCTCCTGGAAATTCTTCCACATCCTGCGCTGGTAGGACAGAGACTCTTGTCCTTTGGCGGTGCTCTCATCCTTAGGTGATTTCTGCTCCATGGTGCCTGTGCAGCAGCCAGCCAGCCTGAGCGCACTCTGAATTGTGGAAGGATGTCACAGTTGGGCTGCTGCAGTTCGGGAGCACTTCCACTGATGATCTGGTTTAGAGCGCCAAGAAGGATACGCACAGTGTGGTGATGAAGGGGTGTTAGTCTCCCAACGAACCTTGTAGAATGCCTATGCAGGCAGCGCTGTAAATCTTATGTCACACACTGTGCAGCGCGCTTTACAGACCGCAAGCAATCCCCTCCGTCTATTAAAGATTTGTCTCAGCTCAGTGGTGAAGTTGGAACACATGCACCGACTTCTCCAAGACTACCTAAAATGCTTGGTTATGCTCCGCTTAGTTGTTGACCGTCTTTGCATCTCTGCTCTTTCCACTCTGCTTTACAAGGGCCAAACTTCCCCATTAATTGTTACATTCAAATGAAGGACGAACGGCTGCACCGCGCCTCCCTCTGGCCAACTAAGTCACTTGACTGAATAATCTGTATGCTGGTGATTGCATAACGCAACCCCACAATGCCTCGTGGAGATGTTTATAATTCAACTGTGGATCCACTGTCACTCCCATCTGAGTGTATCTCTTTGTAGTGCCTGGTGAGCAGCCTCTAGATTCACTCTTTCACTGCAGTGGCCTTGGTTAAATCTGGAGTCCAAAACACTGGAGGTTTCAAAAGACTTGCTCACTGTTGTATCGTGAGGATGTTCTTGCACTGTAGCCATGTCTGGATATGTTCTCCCTGTCAAATAGGTCAGGCCTCAGTGAATGTTATCACCCACATGCAGCAGCAAGCACGCAGCGCTGAACAGCCTCTTCTCTTTTTAGATGCTGTGCGACTTCGGTGCACATAATAACTCATTACGTCTCCCCCTCCGGCCTTTGTTTCAGTACTGGACTGTTCCGTCCCCCTTATTAACATTATCAGGTAAACAAACACACAGAGACAACAGTTGCAAGAATGAAAACCATCTCTTCATCTCTCTCTCTAATGCACATGTACAGACATGGAGGAGGTCACAGAATGACCTTTCATCTGCAAACAGAAGAATGTTATAACTGGGTGAACTTCATCACACTACACAGTGAGCGACTGAGAGTCCAAGGACTTATATGCTGCTTACGTGGACAGGTATTCATGTGAGACACAATATGACCTTGGTTTCACTTGTGGGAGTGATGATGAAGGTGTGAGTGGCACTGACAAAGCCTTCTGTTGCCAGCTTCGAGGACTCGACTCTCTAATAATGAGGGAATGATAATCAGCCTTCAGTGTTGTGTGGTGATTTATGACAATGTTGACCTCTACAGAAGAATACTTCATCTAACTTCTCTAACTTTAGGTTTGCCCAAACATGTAGGCATGTTTATGCAGCCCGGTCTCCAGAAGAAAATGTTGGCATCGTACATTTCTGCCAACCACAGATACATCACATTTGCATTTTATACATATCACATCAGCGTTTCTAAAGTGACATAGTTTAGATTACATGTCTATGAGCTCAGTTTCACATCAGAAGAAGGAGATGGTGGATGGCGTGAGAGCTAATAGAGATGGATGCAAAGCAGCAGACCTGTTTGAGACCAGCCATGTTTTTTAACAACATGTGGTGGCATTTTCAGTGGTGTTTGTGGCAATAATAACTGTATTTTTAAGACGTGGCATTTCCAGCTGTGCTTGTGGCGACAATAACTGAGTATTTTTAGGGTGACATTTTGACATTTACAGGTGTGTTTATTGCAACAATAACTGGGTATCTTTAGGGCAATGATGTGACATTCACAGAGGTGTTTGATGCAACAACAAACGGGTAATTATGAGGCAACGTCAGCACATTTCCAGCAGTGGTGGTGGTGACAACAACTGGGTATTTTTTAAATCATGGTCTTCACATTTCCAGCAGCGGTTGCGGTAAAAAAGTTGGTATTTTAAGCCAAAATATGATCTTTTCCTAACCATAACCAAGTGTGTTTGTGCCTAAACCTAACCACACACGAACCACAGTACTGTCACAACATAAAATGCAATGTTTCAACACATTTGCTTCATGTGAAACATAAATGTAACATAGCCATGGTTTAGAGAAATGTACAATGGTAACATTTATTCTGGTGATTGGGTTGGTCTTTAAGTAATCATGATGCATATTAAACATTGTATGAGAATCCAATAATGAGTTTTGTTGTAGCCTGGGATTACTTTGGTTGATATCTCATCCTTTCCACAGAATAAAACACTTTAATTACAACCAGGAGGGCAGTGACAGCAACACAGTGGACAGCTCTGGACCCCTCTCTCAGTTAAGTGGATGGAGATGTGAGCATGTGAGCCAAACAATTCCTTTCAGCTACCATTGGCTTTTCTGGATAACTGATGAGTCTGCAGTGAGCAAGCCTTTCCTCTTAATGATACTGGTCTCTTATCTACAGTGTGTGTGCGTGTGTGTGTGTGTGTGTGTGTGTGGCTGGGCACACAGATACCTGCAAACAAGACACTTAAAAAGAATTGAATTATAATTATTCCACTAACTGCAGCAGCATATAATTCAGTGGCACCACTAGAACAACCTGAGTCACGCTGTAAGATAATGTAGGTCATGCTTTGGTTAAATTAAACATGATAAGGCCATTTTCACAGTGTTGAGTCATGCCTCTCGTAATTCATTCAGTCATAAAATAACTCAGTGTTCAATGGATAGATTGTATGCAATGGAACTGCAGCGGGAAGGGAAGTGGAGCTGATCCCTTCACTGATATTCCCCTTACCACTGGGCTCAGTTCAAATAACCACATATTCCATTTTCCAGCCTCAGCCTGCTTTAGCCACAGGAATTCGAGCTGCTCAGCATAATGTAAAGCTTAATGCGTGACTCAACTCTGGGATAGTCTTTTTTGTACAGCTACTATCGGCTAGGATAGAACAAATTCAATGTTTCTATGGGGGGGAAAACAGTTTTGGTTTGTTATAGTTTGTTATTGATATGAATGCGGATTTTAATTCTAATCAAATGCTAAAATAGTATGTTTGTCACCTTTAGCCACATTAGGAGGACCACCCCAGGAGGGCTCTGTTGTTGTACGTCATAGAAAAATGCAAGCCATTGAAAAATTAAAACTTATATGTACAATATGATACCAAATGAAACCTATTAGCTATATGGTCCAATTTTAGGAATCTGACCATGCATGTTGATCATCATGTTGAACCTGTTGACCCGTACTTGTTTTATTCAGCTAAGAAATATTGCAATGCTCAGGTCTGTGGCTTCTCAACCTGAACTATGATTGATGATTATTCATGTTTTTGTGTCCTCCCGACTGACCACTGTAACTCTGTTTTTACTTGCCTAAACAAATCTTCTCTGATCCCCCTTCAAATAATCCAATACATTGCTGTTAGCCAGATCCATCAGGTCAACCCACATGCTGTAACTCCCATTTTTGGCTTCTTATCAGATACTGTTCACACGTATAGAGATCTCCACGGTCATGCACCTGAATACATCAGTGATCTCCTCCATCCATATATTATCAGTATTTCCCTTAGGTCTTCAGAACAGGACCTTCTGTCTGTGTCTGTCCCCCTCTCCAGACTCAAAACAAACAAGGTGATCGTGCCTTTGAAACAGTGGCTCCAATGCCTTGAAACTCTCCTCCATTAGGTCTCCTTGGAAAGTTTTAAAAAAATAACTTCAGACCCATCTTTTCAAAATGGCCTTTGTCCCACTCTAAATTATCTAGTGCTTATTAACTAGTGTGTTTCTTTTTGGGGTAGTTTCGTTGTACATTGTGAGGCACTTCGTGAATTTTATTTCTGTGACAGGCACTATAACAAATAAATGCCCTATGCTTTCTCTGTTCTCTCTTCAATGCCAGATTCCAATACTACATTTTTTAGCAGTGTAGGTGTTTTGTGAAGTACTGAACATACGACTGGATAAATGAGACTTGAATTATACTGCACGAGTTGTGTGACAGTTTGTAAATTTATGTTGTCTTAAAGATTTGCTGTTGTTAAATGTGGTCCCCTATCATTCAATCAATCGATATGTTCCCCATTTTCCATGGAGATGTGAGATGAATAAAAGCTTTCTTCACAAATTCAAGATAACACGGCACGGCTCGTTGACTTATAAATGGTCATTTTGTGGGTGAGCCATTCCTTTAAGTTGCCATTGCATTACTAAACTGTTTCAGATATCAGTAACTTTAGAGTAATCAACTATCTAGCTTATAGAATATAAAAAAGAACAAACTTGAATGAGCAGGACTCCAAACCAATGCTGTTTGTCTTATTGGGTTTTCTGCTACACTGTGGACTGGTCAGTTAGTCGGGCACATTTCTTAGAGTGTGAAAAAAAAAAGTAATTGTTCACACTCGAGGTCGTGGTTCACTGAGTTTTAAGCTGCCTCACCAAGTATACAATGCATCATTCTCGCATTACTGTGTTGACACATTCACCCTGGCAGGCAGGCACACCCCACTCAAGGAGACCACAGTTACTAAGTGACAACACAAACACATGAACTCAAGAGCCGGCTGAAGGAAAGCACAGGCCTGTGAGTATTCTGAAATGAAAATGACTGCTTAATATAATGTTTTAAATAAAGTGGTTTATTCTGTTGATTTGAACATTAAAAATTATAACATGTTTAACAAACACATCTGAGCAAAAACTACTGTACATCCAAAAATATTTAATATATAATTTTTTTCTTTTTAGGCAAGAAGAATGTCACACGAGTCAAAGTTACAGCCCTATCAGAACTCCACCAGGTAACTCTTCTTATTGAATAACTGTATTTCCTATTTTGTGTATTTTATCCAACAAAACTACCACAGCATCATCATGTTTTTCATCTTCCTTAGTTCCTGTAGTTTCTCTAATTCAATTCTAAAACCAATCTGCATCTGAGAGGTAGATAAGTTCTATTTCCCCCCAGGTGATGGGATGGAAATACAGTCGAGAACCACCAGCGGCCTTTCTAACACCGCCGTGAATCACATTGATCAAATTAATCCTTAATCCACACTAGCATCAGACAGGGTGACACAGCACGCACATGAAGTCAATGAGAGATCTGGTTTGAGGATGACCCGAGGGTATGAAGACCAGTGCACATCATCTCATTCTGTCTTCATTACCATTCTGGGTGGATGAATGCTTTATTGAATTATACTGTTTTTATTCCTGGATGTGTTCCTGTGCCTCCAGTGCTGGAGAATGCTAACGTCTCATTATTTGCAACACATATCCCTCAGTTACCCAAATCGAAAATAGTTTCTGTTTACTTCCTGATTAAGGCCAGGTGTCTTGGAGGTTAGTCTGAGCTGTGAAGGGAGGACACTGACTGTGCTGCTGGAACAGGCTTTCAGGATCAAAGAGGAGGTGGCAGCAGGTCTGCAGTCCGCCCAGGGCTCCCTCCAGGTTGAGGCATTGTCCCGCAAGCTGCTGGAGAATCACATACTGACCATTACACGCATTGTCAAGCAGCTTAGCATGGACATACAGGTATGCAAGTGGGTGGATGGTGGAGGTTAGTGTTGTGAAATATCTTACCTATGTGGATAAAGTCATTGTCCATCTGTGCGGACTCCCTTTCTTTCTACCTGTCTGGTTTCTGCTCATTCTTTCATCTGCTCTCCCCTCTTCCCCTCATTACTTTTGTTGTGCAGCACACATCCGGACACACAGACACACATTCATGCCCGCAAACTTGCAGCTGATTTGATTACACCTGATAGAATGGTGCAGCGCCTGAGCAAAGCCCGCCTGACTCCCCGTCAACATCAGCTCGGTGACATTTTGTCCGTACAAGCACAAACTAATGATGTTCACAGTATGTGGTTAAATAAATACTGTCAACTTATGCACCAACCTCTGAAAACCAGCAGTCAGAAGGATTAATGGGAAGTGCACTGAAATATGACTCACAGAGTGTTTGGAGTTTTCTTTGACTGAGTTTGATAACCGCCTTACAGAAAAAGAGCACAAAAATGAAATATATTACTTCATTAGTGCATACTGAATGGGCCATTAACATGATTAGAGGCTGTCATGATCTGAAATATCACAAGAATGCCTGAAAGCTAATTTAATCTGCACATGAAGAAGTAATAAACCAAGGCGTGAAGTGAATATGCTGGTAAATCCAATGAAAGAAACATCACGCAGTCACTACTTGCTCTCATGATAAGCCAGGGGGTCGTCTTGTTGAGTTGAGTTATCACAGACACATTGCACACATGTGTATGGCCTGTTTTCTGCAATGATCATCAATGTAAAAGTGGTTACGAAATCTTTGGCAGATTTAAAGTAACAGTGTGTAAAATTCAGGGGGATTCAATGACATCTAGTGGTGAGGATTGCAGACTGCAACAAGCTGAAACTTCTCCAGGTCAGAATTCCTTCAGTTTCCATTGTTCAGGAAAGTTTTTACCAGGAGCCAAAGTATCTGCAGAGGTCTCTTACTCTCCAAAGAGAGTAGCTGATTTAAACTGGTAAAAATGCTGAATAAAGCAATTTTACAGTACAAATCAGTGTGTTCTTTGATGCTGCTTTGCATGTCTGAGACAGGCCACTGGCTCAGCAGCTGCTAATGTTTTGCTCACCTTTTTCACCGATAACTTAAGATCCAGACGTTCAGGAAGCTTTTACTGAGAGCTGATTTAGAGGTCTCTCTCTCTCCAAAACAAACACACCAGGTGATTTAAACCAGTAAAAACCCTGAATAAAGCAGTTTCAAGTGAAAAAAAAATCTGTGTTTTTTGGACAATGTCATCACAGAGGAGCTTCTAACTACTGTGGCCAATGCAAAAACGTGACTGGCCATATCTAGAGCCAGGGTTTGGTTTGGGCATACTGGGCCACTGTAGAAACATGGCAATCTCGGGACAAGGACCCGCTCTCTATGTAGGTAGAAACGGCTCATTCTAAGGTAATGGAAACACCATGATTCTTATTTTCAGGTGATTATACACTAGAGAAAACCAACTAATCATATTATATTTCACTTTTGCTAATGTATCCTCCTAAAACCTACTCAGTAGCCCTTTAAGTTAGCCTTCTCAGCAGAGGACATGTGGTAGTTTTGCCAGCATTGGTGATTTTAACAGCATTAACATGAGAGTTGGAAAGGGAATTAAGGAACAGACCCCTCCTTTCACATAAAATAGACAAATATGCTGTCTTTGTTCTGAGCAGGTCCTTGAAAGACAGATCGCCCAGCATGACTCCATCACCTCTGGAACCACAATGGCCGTGCAAAGCCTGGAACAGAAGAACATGGCCGGCATTGGAGACCTGAGAGGAAGAGTAGCCAGGTACGCACACTTTGCCTAGGTCAAATAATGCCTGCAAACACTGAGGTACAAACTCTAAAGAGTGTTAACAATGATAGCAATGTAATGAGTGCCAAGTGCTTGCAGATTAAAACTTTTCACTGAAGTATTATTTGGATGGATTGCATAATTATTTAGACAAAGGTCTGATGCACAAGTTATTTGACTGATTACCTGTCCTTGCTGATATTCTACTTGTTTTTCATTCCCTCTAATGAAGTGAAATTGTATAGCCTGCATCCTGTCTGGCAGCTCTTCACAGTCTCGCAACTTTCAATCCGTAGTGGCATCGCCTCTCTGACACTCCCGCAGACACACACACATACACACACGCATGCACGCATTAATTATTTTGTTCACACCAGTGTGAAGTTTCTGGGTTTGAACACACTCTAGATGCTGATTAGCACCTGCTCATTATTTGGTCTGTGCAGATCGCACCTTTTAGATTGGATTGCTGAAGAGAGGCTGTCATCATGAGGATTTCATTAGGATCTGTGTTTTTGCTGTGTAGCTACCTGATTATTTTAAACAGCCTGGGCAGCCATTGATCAATACACTTGAGGTGATGTAATTTCTCATCAGACAGTAGATCAAAGATGAATGTTATTTTGTGAACGTCTTATTTCACAGCAGGCCTGCTCCCTCTGTGGTGTTTAAGAAGTCAGTGGTGAGAGGGAATATTGCCTTTTACTCAACAAAGAGATGATTTATGGTCCAATAAAAGCCTTAGAAAAACCTCACCTACTCAGCCTAATGACCTCTTGCGCCTTGTCATAAATAATCAAGTTAGTTGAGGGGCCAGTGGTTTTTGATGAACTGTATTTTTCTGTGAAGCGCTGTAGTGGTGTACAGGGAAATAACCCTCATTTCACTTCGGGCATTTCCATAATTAGATGCTGGCTTTGGTTGTTGAGCTTATATTGTGTTTTATCACAAATATTAGGTTGACTATCTCGCTCTCTCTCTCACACACACACACACACACACACACACACACACACACACACAGCAACCCTGATAGAGATGTGTATTTGCTGGCTTAATGATGGCATCTTGAATTGAACACAGGAAGGAAAAGAGATATTACATAAACTCAGTGTAGAATATGTTAGAGGCAAGATGTTGCATGTGAGAGGCTGTAAAGTATTTTTCCACAACCTGCCAACTGCTCTTGGTGATACATTTATTAAATTAGTTTACTTATTTGATTGGTTGTGATGTTTTTCCAGTGTTTTTATCGGTAACTCATCAACAGATTCAAACATATTTCCACTGGAAAGTTCAAGTGTATTCATTCAGCATTCAAAGGATGGCAGATCACTGCTTAGGATTCAGAACAGATCTCTTTTGGCTTCTGTTAGCTTGCTTTAGAAAGTATTGATAAGGGCAGCTGTCTCTTTTTCTTCCATCCATCTAGGTTAGTCTATAGACTCAATTGTCTGTGCTTTATTGCTCACCTCTCCGTCTTTACACCTTTCCTCAACTCTCTCCCTTTTCCCAGTTCTCATTCAGTGGTCCCTCTCTGCTTCCCCACCTAATATGTCAGGTGTGATGCCAGCATCGCCAAGCTGAGCGCTGACGTGAGCTCTGGGGAGCGGCGGGTGATTAGACTGCAGCAGGAGGTGGCAGAGCTCAGGTCAGCCGTGGACGTGCGGCTCAAAGAGCTGGAAGTCAAGGTGAGAGACGGTGCGTGACTGCTGACAAAGGGTTTGGCAGACGAAACGTAAGGCAGCACTTTAGTCCACACTGTGTTTAAAGTAGCTGAACACCAGTGTCAAAAAGAAAATCTTAATGACTATTTAAAGGTCAATCCTCTGTATATAAATTCCTCTTCATCTCTGTGACCTTCAAGACATCAAAACTTGGCAGAACTGCACAAGAGGGAACATTCTGAAATCTGTAATATGGCAAAGGTAGGATGGTACACTGCATATTTGTAACCATGATAGCTGCATGGCTCTATGGGTGGCAGTGTGTTTCAGTCAGTCAGCCCTCTACTATTTTATGGATGGCTATGAAATTTTGTTCAGGCATTCACAGTCCTAAGAAAATGAACCTAGTCACGTTGGTCATACCCTGACTTCTCCTCTAGCGCCACGAGCAAGTTGACATTTTTGCTTTTTAGTGACATGTATTGAAAACTGTTGGATGGATTGCCAATTTGGTCCCCAGAGGATGATTTCTAATAACTCTGATGACCTCCTGACTTTTTCTCTGGTGCCACTATAAGGTTGACATTTGTGGTTTTCAGTGAAACAACTGCTGGATGGACTGCCATTAAAATTTGGTCTGACTATAATGATCGCTTAACATTTCATCTATTTCCATCATAGGGTCAAAATTTCAATTTGCTCAGTACTTTGGATTTTCACCAAATACCTGCAAAACTAATGATACTGCCATCAGCTTCAGCTGTACTTTGGGTTTAGTACTAATTAGAAAATGTTAGCATGCTAACATGCAAAACTATGATTATGAACATGTTAAACATTATTCCTGTTAAGCATCAGCATGTTAGCATCATCATTGTGAGCATGTTAGCATGTTGGCGTCAGCCTTGAGCTCCAAGTACCTCTTCACTTACTTAGGTCACAATACGATATTATTGCGATACTGCGATATACTGAGTATTGCTATATTGCAATATATTGTGATTTATTACCTTTTTTTCCAACTGCAAATTATTTCCCCAATGGAAAACTTTGTCAACATCAGTTCTATCTCATAATACAAAGTTTTCAGTCTGTTCATCTGACTTTAATCATTTTTATTGCAGCAAAATGTGATGCAAAGCAGACAGACTGACCAACGCCGTTATAAAACCTGTCAGAAATGCTGCATACACCTGTCTGCAAAGCCAGATTAAGTGCATGAGCGAAACACTTCACATGCAGGCTTCCTGCTAACTGAATAGCAACACTGTTAGAAGCATTTTCTGTTAAAACAAGGCTTTTGTCGGCAATCGGCAGTGTTTGCTCCTGTGTGACTTTCATGCACTGCTGTAGCTTGGAGAACATGAGACAGCAGTCGCCAGCCCTCTGTGAGATAACGTGCCCTTATAGTCACATATGAATCCACTGACCTTGAAGTCCAGGCGTCACGAGTTAATGCCACCCTTCCTGCTGTACTCAAAGATTCCTCAGTCTCATGCTTCACTGCTCTGTAGAGCTTGGGTGCAGCTTTGTCGCTGAAAAAATGCTGGGATGGAGCCACAAACCTGGGTGCCATTTTTTTTAGCGTAACAAAAGCCGTCGCTTTCAACCATGCTGTATTCACACAGATCTTTGCACATGAAATAGGTGATGGACTGTGTTATTTTCTTAGCTCGCTCAGAGTTGGATGGTAGTTTTGTCAAGCTAAGTGTGTCCACTGTTGGTTGATTTTTCGGCAGAGTGGGTTTAGCGTTAGCTTGGCCATCAGCAGTTAATGCTATCTCTGGATGGTGGAGTGTGAAGTGAGCCCTCATGTTTGTTGTATTCCCAGAGTATTTTATTCACATATGACACTGCTTGCAAATCCATCCACAATAAGTCCAGACTTTTGATTTAAATGAAAAATAAAAAAAATACGGTTTTGTTTTTTGCTAACCTAGAATGAGCTGCTTATATCTACATACAAAGCGGGTCCTCTTCCATGGAGTCCACTATGTTGTTTCACAGTAGCCCACAACAGACTAGATAAAGCCATTTGCATTTTCACAACAGCCACCACCCTCCTGCATGCTTTCAAAGTTTCATTTCAGCAATGTCACCACTAGATTCCACTACATTCTACACACTAGACCTTTAAATTATGCATTATGTATTACACAAAGCTAATTTTACAACCCTAACCGAATCTTCACCCCTCCTCTATCTAAACGCAGACATGCACACACTCTCACACACATAGTGTACATATTGGGATTCATTTAAATACTCCAGTCTCAAATTAAGGAATAATGACCTCCTTTGTGATTGTATTTGGGTATTAAAGAGGGATTACATTCATTCCAATGCTGCTTGTATGAAGGAAATAATAATCTGGCAATATACACAGGGGGTGTATTTGCTGTTTATCCTTGAGATGGTAGCTGGCTGTTTGGCAGGTGAGTTAGAGCTTACTGCTGCTGTGAGACCGGCCTTATCAAGGGAAGGCAGAGGCTCAGCCAGACTCCGAGAGAAGAAAATGAGATGTGAAATGAATTCAAACGGGGGATGTCAAGGTCTCTCTGTAAACAGCTTTTACTGCCCTTTGAGGTCAAATTTTCTTTACAAGCTAAATATTATAACAATGCTAAAATACTGGATTAGGACACATATGTTATAAAGCTCTCCATCACTTAACTAAATCCAAAGCGACCACTACTGCCCTCAACACACACACACCCACACTGATTCAGCCTGGACTCAGTTCTGTTAGTGGTAAATCATTGTGATGGCAGCACATTAGCTGTGGAGCAGTGGTCAAGCATGTTCCATAAAGATAATTGAAAATGCAGAGAAAGTGGGTCACTGCTGTTTACTCTCAGTCCTGGCTGGCTACAGGGGTGGTGCAGTGGCTCAATCAGCTCGACTCAGCAGAAACCGCAGAGGGTAAAGGTCAGATCATGGAGCCGACACCACAAGATTCAACAACATCATAGTAACAGCATGTGTTTCCGTGTTTTCTTTTCCCAGCTTCATCGTGACCTGGGGAGAATGGAAGCATCATTGTCAGAGCATTCAAAGGGACAAAGGAGCTCCATGTCTGATCTGCATACACAAGTTAAAGTACTAGAGGTCAGGTAAGGCCATTAGTTAAAGAGGAAGCACAATCAACCAAGTAAATCCTGGGTTACTTGTTACAATACTGAGACAAGCATTAATCTCTTCATTTGTTTCTTTTCATGGGCTGACCTCGGTGCACAGTGGTGCTTCTGTACGTTAACAGCAACATAGCTATCAGTGATTAGGAGTAAGAAAAAAAAAAAAAAGATTAAAAAAAAGGCTCATAACTGATACGGCTCAGCAACACATCCTATCTTGTGGTGCTGATGAGTCATGCAGACATACTGCTAGAACATGTGCTTCCAGGGATTTGCCTGATTATCAAAACTATGTTTTTGGAGAAACCGGGCTGTTGCTAAACATGCAAACACTGCAAAGTTTTATTAGATTTCAATATTTCTAGGAAGGTGTTTTTTCACAATAATTATCTTGCGACATCTGTAGTCATGCAAGTGTTGCGCTGGACCCTCGTGGTGGAGAGGGAGCTGAGCCGGAAGGCAAAGCTTTCAATTTACTGGTCCATCTACGTCCCAACCCTTAGCTATGGCCTTGAGCTCTGGGCAGTGACCGAAAGAATGAGATACAAGTGGCCAAAATGAGTTTCCTCCGTAGGAGTAGCTGGGCTCGAGTATGGAGCTTGGACATCCGGAGGGAGCTCGGAGTAGAGCCACTGCTCCTTCGTGTCAGATGGGGTGGTTCGGGCATCTGATCAGGATGCTTCCTGGGCGCCTCCCATTAGAGGTGTTACGGGCATGTCCCACTGGTAGGAGGTCCCGGGGTAGACCCAGAACACGCTGGATGGGTTACATATCTCATCTGACCTGGGAATACCTTTGGGTCCCTCAGGAGGGGCTGGAAAGCGTTGCTGGGAGAGGGACGTCTGGGGTGCTTTGCTTGGCCTGCTGGCTCCGCGACCCGGCCCCAGATAAGCAGATGAAAATGGATGGATGAATGGATGGCTTAGTGTTCCTGTAAAAAACTCTGTATGTTAGAAACATCTGTGGATGTAATGTTTAAATTAACGTGTCTTTGTTAACATTAGCTTGCTATTTTTTTTTTAACTCCATACTTTCTCCCGACTTTAATTTCTCGCAGACTATTCTGTACTTACTGTTCTGCGTGCGAGTGGGAAATAAAGCCTTGGCTAATTTGCAGTTTAGCAGCACTGCTCAAGGGATTCATTCTTTGTGCTCCCTTGTTCATTCTGCCCAGACCCACATAATAAATAATAATCTACGAGTTACTCATTTGCTTATCAAATAATAGCACCAGTCAGTCAGAGCTCTCTACAGCTGGGCATTTTAAGAGCCATGGCCATTTAAAACTATTGGTGCCAGAGGCAGAGAAAAGTTAGTTCACTTGATTTAATTCCATCTGAAAAATAATCTCAATTGGCAGCAAATATGCAAAATGGATCCAATAGTTTTACCATGGTGGAAACAGAAACAGAGAGACATGAATGATGAATATGCTCTATTTAGTAATGCTGTAGATCTGTAATGGAAATCAGGTCACTGATCATGTTAGAACCAAAAGAACAATAGATAAAAATAGATGAAAAGCAGCACTGTCTGTGTTTCTGAGCCAGGTGGAATCATGACAAAAACAAACAAAAAAAAACAACCGGCAATATTATAACGTCCATCCACCCATCCAGGCTGCTCTTTGTTTGGTCGCCCTTTAAACTTGACCTGCCTTGTCTGTTGTGTCGCCAAGTCATTCTGAAGCAGACACAGCTAATTCAAGAGGGTCCTTCATTAACCTTCAGTGCACACAGGGACCTCAGTAGATTGCGCATCCTCCTGGCTTTTTGTTAAACATTCAAAGTCACACTATTTCAGCTCTGACCCTCAAATTTATAACTAAGACACACTGAGTGATGCCATTACACTCAATAGAAAGGCTAACTATCATGCTCAAACTACAAGGCCACTGACAAAAGAATTAAACATTCTTGATAATGATGTTCAGACAAGCTCAAGAACACAAAGACAGCAATAAATCAAGGCACAGTGACCCTCTTACAATAGGGAAATGACAAACGGGATTCTGAAAACTCATCTAACATGGATAAATCAGCCGTCCTGTTGTCTGGTGTACGCCTGGCCTAACAACTGCCAACATCAGCCAGATTAGCCAGCCAGTGTGGAGTTATAAACGAGGTGTCTCTGTAGCAGCAGACCTGAAATTCATTTGTAGCAGGAGTCTGATTTGTATTGCGGTCAAATACAGACACACACAAAACATAACATCCTGGCACTTGCCTCATTGATTTTCTCATTTAGGGAGAATCCTGCGAATCAGAGGGATTAGAAGAGAGAAGGTCAATTGAATAGATGTCCCAATATGTGTTATATATAATAGAAAAAATTGATGAGACACTGCGTTTTGTGATACAATACAGCCCTCACAATATTTTACTCACTGTGGCCAATGTTGTTGCTTTTATATGAGACATTTTAACATTGTTGACTGCAGTGTGAGGTACATACAGTTATATAAATGGCAACACAGTCCAATATTACAGACAGGGGGATTTGTTTTGCTTCCCCCAACAAACACAGTGCTACATAAAGGCTTTAAGATCAGCATGATGTGTTTCTTAAGTGCTCATGCAGCATCATTCCACCACGTTTCACATTTTTGTGCAAATAGTTTTTTGCATATCAAAGTATTCTGCATAGTTTTAAAAATCTAAATACCTAGATACCAAAAGAAACAAACAAAAAAAATAGTATTTACTATGTATGCTCATATTTGCATGTGTGCATATGTGTATTCAGCTATTTGTCTGTGACAATGTGAGTTTTGTGAGTCTCTATATAGCAGCAGCAACCAACCTCGGAATAACAATGCTGTGCCTGCTGAGGCTGGCATCAAGTAAACCAAAAAAAGCAGCGCTGTTGCCGAGGAAGTCTCACCTCTCAAAACCAAAGAGAGATCACAATTCTGAACACTGGCTTTCAGACAGCTTCAACCAGCTGAACATAAAGCATCTTGCTTTGAAAACAAAGTGACAGAATATCAATTATTGATTTATGACTGACACCCTGTTTTCACACCACAGACGTTTCACCCGGTGCAAAGAAATGAAGGTGTAATAATGTATTGGTTATGGAAACAGACACGTTATTATTCCAATGCCAAGCACAAATAGGAGCTCTATATAATGGGCCTCAATTTACAGCGAGCATCGCTCCAGCTTCCAGCTATCTGGCAGTTTGTATGCATTTTTAAAGCATTTATAATCTAATCTGCTAATGGCATTTCTGTATCTACTTTGTCAGTAAGAAAAATGCAACTTCCAAACTGTCATCTGTAACTGCATTTCCAAAGTAAAGCCTCCCACAGTTCTCTGCTCTCTATCCCTGGTGACTTTGCAGGATGTCAGGTGAACTGAAGGAAGCCAAGGAGCAGACAGATTCACTGAGGAAGTGGACAGATCAGCAGCTCAACAGCTTAGCCAAGACTCATGCAGAAAGCAGCCAGCAGCACCGCACACAACTGCAAGACAAAATGGTGATGTAGATTCACACAGTTTATGCAATTATGTCCACAATTACAACATGCAAGTAATAGAATCGGGAGGCTACTTTCAGAATGTGGTATTTGTAGATTTTGTCTCCTTTGCCTTTACTGTTCTTTTGGCCTTTCAGTGCCTCCAGTATCAAATTGTCAGGTTAGACTTCTTGTGTGAGGTGTTCAAATGTGCAGAGTTCAGTCACACTTTCTGAGCTGTGACTCAGCAGAAAAAAAGCAGTTCACTTTGGAAAAGGATATTCAGATGGAAAATATGGTGAGAAAGCTGCAGAGAGTTGTATGGGTGAGCTGTTCAAGGTGCCATGTGAGATATTTTTAGGCATTGATATATCATTATTAATTTTACCATGAGGCCTGTGATATAATTACACACTTGCGGTTACTGTACATGTAATATGATCAAATGTTACATGCAGCACCTTAAAGTCTGGATTTAAAAAGGATGTTCCGGTGTGATCTCACACATAGTGTGGGGATTTAAAAAACTGCTGTGCAGTGTGTTGCAAGTTTGACATTTTAGTGGTTTTTTGCACGTGTTCTACATTCAGTTGGAGGCAGAGTCGAGATTAGCTGTCCAGCTATGTGCTCTGGAGGCCCGTGTGGAGCAGGTTGAGGCCCAGCGGGATCAGACCGACCGCAGTCAGGCAGATCAGCTGAAACGCTCTGAAACCAAACTCGGTAAAAGACTAACCTCAGTGGAGAGCAGCCTTCATCGGGAGCTGCAGCTGCTCAAACAGGAATACCACAAAGGTGGGTGATCGCTGTCTGTCACTTGCCATCATCGGTGAGCAAACACATGCATACTACACGTGTGTACCTTACACATCAAGGGAAAAATGCACATGCAGAAAAGCTTCACTAAAGAGTCAGAAAGCAAGAGGGAGAGACTGAAGTGACCTGACTGCTCTGCTAACTCATTATACTCAGCATAACTGTCTGAAATATATTGATTTTCAGTATGGTAAGTCAAATCAAACATATATTTATATTTATATTTATAATTACAATATATCAAAAAACTATTTCTAGACACATGACAAGCCTGCCGCTCTGTGACAAAAGAAAACTAACCCTAACACACTGACACGAGCACAAATGCTAATACAGCAGCATTTTTAACCAGATTAAATTAACCAGATTTGAGCTATAGTTGCTATGTGTCGCTAATAAGTCACACAGCAAGACAGGCCATAGGAATACACAACCACACAGGCGACCCGGTACAGCAGCTCTGCTCTACATCAAACTACTGTTGACATCCATCTCCATCTCACTGCTGTGCCAACAGAGGGCTCATTTCCCAGAAGCCCTGGCATAAGATCTCAAACCATTCCCACTTTCTGTCAACCTCCCTCAGTCTCTAGCTCTTATTAAAGTGTAGACACATATAAAAGAAGGCAAAGGCTCCCTCCAGTAAATAAGAGCAGGAGTAAACTGCTCCGTGAATCATTGCTCAGCCACTGCTTTCAGAACCAGAGAGCCATCCATCCATTGCACTATTTTAAGTACAGGAAGAAAAAGATGGAGGGAGATGGTATCAGAGGGGAGAAAAGCAATGCATAATTGATGAGTGTCGTAAATATTCGTGGCAGGACAGGCGGGGAGTCAGAAAGACAAGGAGGGAGATTTAATATCCCACCATTGTATGAGAAAGTTTATCCCTCCATCTCACAGTCACTGAATAGTGCTTCATAGAGTGCCTGCAATATTAAAAAATATTTCCATATTAGGCATTGTGTTCCTTACTACCCAATGAAGTCATGATAACTGATGATTAGGACCAAAAATGATTCCTCACCCTGCTTCTCATTTGAACAGGGTTCCTGTCTGTGCATGATGCCATTGAGTCCCTGAGGCAGATAGGCTACATCAAATCCCGCCTTGACAAAGAGAAGCTTCACAAAGATATCCGGCAAATCTGCAGCAAGGAGGCAGAGCTCAACGACGTGTGACATATATCACTTAAAGAGGAGCTAATAGCCTGAATCATACTCTTTAAAAACCAACAGGCCCAGCAGTCGGTGAGAGTGTCAACTGTTTCCTCACTGGCTTTATTCAAATTTCATTCCATGAGCCCACAGCTATTTAGACTACGGCTATATTTAATTTAATCACCCTGTGAAAATCAGAGAAATTATCTTGTCATCTTAAGTAGAATACCATTTGTTAAATGTTAGGCAACTTGATTACAGCCAGACCTTTCAGTGACGGTTCATTTTGTGTAATTTAAAAAGGTAAGAAGATTAATTGCACATCATTTTACTTTAACTCACTCCATCCCTGTCTCATTTTTGCTTTATAATATACAAGCTTCAGCCATGATTTGTCGTTTATGCAGTTATCTTGTTAGATTTAACTTAGAAGCTTGATGAGAACACTACTGCATTAAAAGACTGTCCCAATATTTGTTTGGTATTAATGATTTTAATCATTTTACTTTTAATGAACAAAAACGGCATAATAGAAGCTCTTCACAATATTTTTGAGTTGTTTTTTCTTATTTTAGTCACCATTTATTATATATGATGAATGCACTGACTCTTGCTGTCAGCATGGAGCGCTACACGCCAGCGTAGCCATTGTAATGGTATGTAGTCATCCTCCAGCTCATGTGGGTGAGCGCTGTATTACACTGCTCTGAAAAAGCTCTGCCGAAACCCGGGATCGAACCAGGGACCTTTAGATCTTCAGTCTAACGCTCTCCCAACTGAGCTATTTCGGCTTACGTCATGACTACGTTCATAGTACCTGTCACATATAAAGAAATAGTGAACAGTGTTGTGGGTCGTGAAAGCAAACTACGGCAAATATGTAGATCTTGAAAAGAACTTATGGATCTTTCATGGGAAGTGCACACTTATGGAGGAAATAATATATAGAAATCTCTGCATAAATAAATACATGAAAATGATAAATACATGCTGAAATAATACACAAATAAATGTATTAAACAACAGAATACATAAATAGGCTATATACATACAAAATAGAGTGCGCCAGTGATGACGTTTTTCAACGCGGAAATTAGCGTCACTGTGGTTCCCTCGTCAGAAAGCTGATGGGATTGGTTTGAGAGAAATATGATGTTTGTATCTGACAATGATAACATATTGCATTATACAACATTTGTAGATAAGTATAATTTAAATTGCTGTCATTGAGGATTTAGTAAAGTGATACACAGGTCCCAGGGTCAGTGACTTTATCTAGCTACTATAGATAAAGCATATTCTAAATTTATAAAGTGGCCTGTTGCCCCAAAAGTTAAAGAAACTCATTTTAAGATTATTCATAAGATTTATCCAACAGCTGCACCTTCTGTGGTGAAAATGAACAAACTTTAGAACACATGTTTTCTCTATGCCCTGTGTCCCAAAAAGTTTGGACTGACATAAAAAAAATTAGTTATCACTGAAGATGAATGATACCAACATTTGACATCTCTCACATCCTTTTTTTATGGATAATCTATATTCATCTGTCTCTGACATAATAAACATAATTTAAGTTTTAGGTAAATATTATATTCATTGGAGTAAGTGGAGAAATACCAAACCCTCCTTTAACTGGTTTATAAATGACTTTAAGATGTTTTTCTTCTTACTGAAAAAAAAAAAGGTTTCTCGCAGGACAGCAAGAGAGTTAAGTGTCGATTTTTCTAAATTTTTGCTGTTTTGAATTATGACTCGTATTGGATTTCGATATCGTTTGCTTCCCTTTGACAAATTTGTTATGCCTGCTTGTCTTCTTCTTCATTTATCAAGTAATTTTTTACAATTCTTATTTTTATATATTTATATCTCCCCCTAGCTTATTAAATTCTATTTTGTTATATTATTATTAGTATGGAATGTTGTATGTTTAAAACTTTTGTATGTTCTTCTAATGTTTTAAAGTTTCAAGTTGCTCTCAAAAACAAAAAAAACAAAGGATATGGAATGGAATTCAACTTTGACTGAAAAATCCTTCCACCAGATTAAAAACACACATTACCTGACATTACCTAGACAGAGCCATGATCTGTTTGGAGACCAGTGACAAGGAAAACAAACGTGCATATTTAGGAAAAAAAAATCATCAGTAAGTATCACATTATGAGTGTTTTTCAAGATGGTCAAATGATTTTTCAGTCAAAGTTGAAACAACAAAGATATGATAGCTTATGTTGTGATATGGCATGCCTGGCCCTATGACTCCAATAGAACTGGCACCAAAGTGTGGCTCCTCCAACACTGTCACTGACGAATGACCTTTCCTTCTTTAATAGTTTCCTTGGTTTAGGACTCATTCCTGGAGCACTCTTTAAATGCTGGAATAGGCCCTAAATAGCAAAACAAATAACCTCCTATTATACTGGCATACAGACACAGACATTTATTTATTTATTTATTTATGTCCTGTTAATTAGGCTAAAGGAATATTTCACTGCCCTGCCTTGAATTTGCGAAGAAAACTACAATATATATGTTGTTGTCCACGGAGGCATGCAAGAATCACATAGTTCCATCCATCCATCCATTTTCATGTGCTTATGCGGGACCAGGTTGGGTGGGCAGCAGGCTGGGCAGGGAGCTCCGGACAACCCTCTCCCACCAATACTCTCCAGCTCCTCTTAGGGGGGATTCTGATCCCAGACCAGATCAGATATATAATCCCTCCAGCATGTTTTAGTCTACTCCAGAGTCTCCCACCAGTTGGACATGTACAGAGGGCCTCTGATAGGAGATACCCAGAGGTGGATCCTGATTAGATGCCCAAATCACCTCAGCTGGCCCCCTTCAAAGCAGCACCTCTGCTCCAAGCAGAGGCAGTACATATTCATTATTTTGTGAGTGAAGTATTCCTCATAGACTTTAATTTCTTTCTGCATTAATGTCAGATTATAAATGGAAAACTTATCGCATGGCCCGTACGGGGATCGAACCCGCGACCTTGGCGTTATTAGCACCACGCTCTAACCAACTGAGCTAACCGGCCGTTGGCTGTTATCAATTGTGACGTCATCAGAAGCGTAAATGAAAGTGGTGGTTAGTGGTTATCATAGGCTAGTCTTTCACAAAGTGGGAGCATGGTGTTTTAGGAGTGCCAGAAAAAAAAAGCTGAATGAATCTAATTTATGAAAGAACACAAACTGAATAAGAGTGAAACTAGCAGGGCTATAAGATAAGATTCAAGTCAGTAACATCCATTGAGACAACGAAGCAACCATGGCAACTGTGTAGATCTTGAGTAGACCTTATGGATCTTTCATGGGTAATACAAACTTTTGGAGGACAAAAAATATAAAATAAAGAAACGTCTAAATAAGTGTATAAATAAATACTGACAAAAGATCACATAAAAACATGCTGAAATAAAACATAAATAAGTAAACAAACAAATATATAAATATGCCTAAACAGAATCCTCCAGTGATGACATTATGGAAGTTGGCATCGCCCTCGTTTTTTGTTTTTTGGATTATTGCAAAAAAAAAGCTCTGTGGCAAAAAAATAATTAGGATACTTACACATTTTGTTCAGCAGAATGATCTTCACAAATGAACAACACTTTGTATTTTGTTTGCGACCCTGCTCCTGGCTCCCTGCCTAACACGGGCAGTACAAATTGACATATATTCATCATTTTGTGGGTGAAGTTTTCCTTGTAGTACCTCATCTCTTTTTTGTGTTTCTGTCAATTTGGAAAACTTATCTCATGGCCCGTACGGGGATCGAACCCGCGACCTTGGCGTTATTAGCACCACGCTCTAACCAACTGAGCTAACCGGCCATGTCAGCGCCCAATTGTGACATCATCAGAACTGTAAATGAAACAGAAAGTAACACGGAGCAGACGGAGAAAGCGACTCTTCACTGTCGGTAAGGTTTCAGTGTTTTATACTTTAAATGTTTTGTACTTTGATAGATATGCATGAAAAACGTAATGCTTTATTTCTGAAACACACGGACTGTGGTTATCATAGGCCAGTCTTTCATACAGTGGGAGCACGAGAAAAAAACTTAGGAGTGCCATAAGAAAAGCTGAATGAATCTGATTTATGAAGGAACACAAACTGAATAATAATGAAACTTGCAGGGCTTTAAGAATCAAATTAGTAACCTCCATTGAGACAACAAAGCAACGTGTAGGGTAGATGGACAGACTTATGACAGGGAAGCAAAAACAGATGATTCACTGATCAAACAATTAAATCAGTAAGTATGAGGAAGCAACAACGGGAACAAGGTAGGGCGAGTTCATTTATAAAGCTCCTCTCAACAACATCAAGGCTAATCAGAGTGCTTCAAGTGAAACAGGAAAGTACATGCTAAATACAGAAAACCTTTGAGCTGACTGAGTGGCTTTATTGCCTGTGTTACACCCTGATTAAATGTCCTCTAACATGACGCTACATCTGTTTTAACTTCCCACAGTACTGCAGATATTTGTGGGGCTGAAACAACATCCTCTATCAGCCACATCCCTGAATCAAGATGTCAGTGCAGTTCTCTGGCTGGGAGGTGGTGGACGATGGTGCCTCCTTTCCTGGCGTGGAGCTGAAATCCTCCCAGAAACCCCAAAACCGGGGCGTCTACATTATGTACCATGGCACCAGCATTGCCAGCGCACGGCTCATCATTGCCAGTGGTTTTAAACAGTCAACAGGTGGCATGCTGGGAAGGGGCGTGTATGTCAGTCGTGACAAGAAAAAGGCGTGTCATTATCCACTGAACAGCAGCACTTCTGACCGCGTGGTCCTTGAGTTGCACGTGCGTGTGGGCCGTGTCAAGCGCATCGACCAGGACAACCATCCTCTGCAGTACACCTGGCATGCGCATGGCTACGACACTGCCTGGGTGCCCCCAAGGTGTGGCCTCAAAGCTGTGCGCAGTGGCCTTGAGGAGGATTGTGTGTTTGACCCCAAAAGAGTGAAGGTGGTCGCCATTGCGAATGCACCAAACGGCAACATCCTTAAAGAGCTTCAGCAGCTTCTGTCAAAGAAATCCAAAAGACATGGAGGACGAGGAGGTGATGGTGCTCCAGATGTGTGTGCAGTGTGCAAGAGGAAGACCCAGCAGGGTGCTCCACATGTCAAGCAACGGTGCTGGGAGTGTGGGCAAAACATCTGCATCCTCATGTCCAAGCATTTCTGTCCAGCCAAACCCAGACAGGGGGGAGATGATGTGGATACAGATTAGAATAGTAAATCTAAATTCAGGGTGTAATCAGGCTGTGGAAACTGGACTCATACTCTCAATATTTTTCTTCTGTAAAGTAGTGTTTGCAATTTGTAATAGGTGCTGGACATGTTTTGGGGATCTCCTGCTCATTAATGGACATCATTTATAGACTGTAGCTCTTATTC